GAACCTCTCTCTGGTCCACATTTTCCTAGCTAAGTACACAACATCTGGAGTTGGAGTTACTGTAAATGTTTATTTGTACAAAGTTTGTCATCTCACCACAAATTCAACACCACGAACAATGGTATTAATACTAATAATCTTAATTTTAAGAATATAACTACAGTACAGTTTTGGATAAACAACTAGAATTAGATGTAGACTATGGTTATTTAAGAAAATAACTGCTGTAAGAAATGTCATATAGAAACATAGAAACATAGAATGTGACGGCAGATAAGAACCATTCGGCCCATCTAGTCTGCCCAATTTTCTAAATACTTTCATTAGTCCCTAGTCTTATCTTATAGTTAGGATAGCCTTATGCCTATCCCACGCATGCTTAAACTCCCTCACTGTGTTTACCTCTACCACTTCAGCTGGAAGGCTATTCCATGCACTCACTACCCTCTCAGTAAAGTAATACTTCCTGATATTATTTTTAAACCTTTGTCCATTTAATTTAAGACTATGTCCTCTTGTTGTGGTAGTTTTTCTTCTTTTAACGTCTCCTCCTTTACTGTGTTGATTCCCTTTATAAAAATCTAACAAAAAGGGATTAAATGTAGAGGTTACATAATTATTATCTATCAAGGCATAGAAATAGTTAAAACAAAGCATACAGACACATTTTGCATGAAATCTATAACGGCCAGCAAGCAGCTAAAAGCGATCTGAAGATACATGTTGGAGGAAGAGATATTAAAGGATCATTATAGGGTCAGGAAAGTTCAGTGTCTGCATGCAGAGGGAGGAGATACTGAATGTTTGGATGCATTTTAGGCAGCACTGCCCCAGGATGCACCTACAGCAGCCATCTGAGGAGTGGCCAGTGAAGTTATCACTAGGCTGTAATGTAAACACTGCATTTTCTCCGAAAAGACCGTGTTTACAGCAAAAAGCCTGAAGGTAATGATTCTACTCACCAGAACAAATTCAATAAGCTGGTGTTGCCCCCTGCTTGGGACTTCACGTGGAAGTAATCTTCCCAGAGATTTATATTTTAAATTATTGTAAAGCTACTTTCAATGTGCCATATGGAAACATAAAAAATTGTATTCTGTTGTAAATAACAAATTAGAACATTGGATAGATGTGATGTTAGAATTGTATATTTTGGTGCAAATAGCAAGAACATTTTTCGAGAGGGAAAATAAAACCAGGGCAATGGACATGCAGGAACGGCAGATATTAAAATAGATAAATCCAATTATTTCCATCGTAAATCTAACAATAAATGGAAAATATGCATATACTGCACAATGTATGAAAGAACAAATACAATATATTTATTAATAAATGCAAATTAGATTAGGAACACAAAATGTTACATAAAAATAAAATGAATGAATTGATTCACAGTTGTTACAGAAAGGATGCATATATCTAAACAAACGAGTTTGTTTTCCTGGCACTATAGTGGTCCTCTAATTCAAAACGTTGAATCACTTTTG